GAACGAGAAATGGAATATCTTCGTCTAGGGTGATCGTTGAGCCGTAAAAGCTCCTGATTTGTGCTTGTCTCAGCTCAAGCTACGAAACTGCTATTCCAGTTCAAAACCCCATGTTAAAAGTGAACTATTTCCTTTAAGGAGTAGGTATCGAAGTATATGCACCTGCATATATTCGTTACAAAAAGTAAGTAATTAGATAAGATTGCCTCTTTCCGCAAAGGTGGTACAGTCAATTACAGGCGTTCGATCGGGACTCTACATATTCGCCGTTAGCCCGGGCCTCAACACTGGCAGCAACCACCTGGTAATGGTAGACTGCGCACAGTCACCTTAGCTTGGTGGGATGATACTTGACTCTCAGACCTACTAATGGTGAAGGACCGGTTCGAGACTGAATTTAAATAAAGAGTTCCCATCGATTAACCTGTAACCGACTGTATACCTACATGGCGCAGCCGCCGCCCGGTATGATCCGAACCTCTGGTGAAATCCAGCACATGATCTAATGGCAGGAGACTGTGATGACTCGCGTACAGGATAGTGGACGGATGGACTGGTGTCCGTCCGGTAGGCCGGATGTCGCCGCCTGCGGCACATGTTTGTGTCGAGCTGTCCGCCGCACGCACCGCCAGATCGGCGTGTCCTCTGTACCGGGCGTCATCCGAGTACGCCGAACGAACATGAGTCACCGCGCCAGTGCGTCAGCCAACGGTACCCAGAAACGACCGCGTGCTGACCGGAACGGAGCACCTGAGTTGAGTCACCCCAACGACGGAGACGGCCCGCCGCGCGCGCACCGGCCTTGCCTCCATTACACGGATTCCACCGGCGCGGAGGCGCCAGGATGACGTCATGTGACGTCATACCTGTCGGTCGTGCTGCCACCTGTCGGACGATGACTGAACTGCTGTGGAAGCCTGTCGGCGTCGGCGGCTCGCCGGCCGACGAGAGGAAGCCCGAGTCTGGCGGCCGGCCGTCGGTGATCTCATCGGCTCTGGAGGGCCAGCGGCGAGCCCAGTGCGGTGGAAACGGGCGCCAGCTTCAGATTCAGCTATCAAAACAGCGCTGCGAGGTAACAGCTCACAGACCCCGACTCCTCCACTCACAGCCAGTCCGAGTCGGACGAGCGGTCGACCCCGCCGCGCCGCGCGGTGCTGGCGCCGCCCCTGCGCCGAGGAAAAGCGGGGCTGTGAGCTGGCGGTCGGCGCGGCGCGGCGCGGCGGTCGGGTGACAGCCGCCCACCTCTCTGGGCCGCTCTGTCGCCATGAGGTCGGACTGGGCCGAGCGGTGACGCCAACAGAGCTCCCGGCGTGATAGCGCGGCGTCCAACCGGCCGACCGCGGCTCAAAGTCCGGACGGACACTGCCAGATGCAGGGACCTCCATCAGCTCCCGCAGGCCGAGCGTGACTACTGAGATCAATCTGCTATGGCGGCTGACACGTCAAAACAGACTGTACTAGATATCTAATTGATCGGGGTACCAGGGATTCTTTATTGTAATTCATTCATGCAGGGAAGCCGGAAGGTAAAAAGGGGACAGCCCTGCACACCTTACCAGTAGCGCTACGAGCTGGCGACAACAAAAAGAAAGAATGTGTCTTTTCCTCCACACACATCACGCCAAATAAACAATGGCCGTGTTCAGTTCATGGTCAACTTTGTTTTCTGAATGAATTATAGGCATGAAGTGCATGACCCTTTCACCATATGATCTGGAATTCAATGTTCTTTTCAGGGGCTATTTCTTATCTGTTTAGATTCACCAATCATTAGGCGGCACTAGGAGCAATTGTTAATGATTTTGCGACAATTCAAACATTACCAATTGTTGAGAGATCAGCAATGCCCGTTATCAAGCACTAAGTAGGAAGCTGCGCCCTAGTTACTCAGGATCTGTGCCGACATCACGGACTCCGTCCTATAGATACGCGCCACATGTGTAGGATGCTATCTGCTCCTGTGCCGTTCAGTTCAGGACCATCCGAGTGAATGCCGGGCCGCGGTCAGGTGGCTGCCAAGCCGCAGCTGTGGTCAGCTGCCCCCCCCCCCCCCCTCTCGGGCGTGCAGGCGCGGCACGGCGCGGCACGGCCAGCCGACCGCCGACGTCACTCAAGGCCAGAGCGGCTGGCGGCGGCCCACGCTCGCCGGGCCGGCCGCGGCCGCTCAGCTGCGCTGCACGGCGGACCGCCAGCCGGGCCGGCGGTCCTCAGAGCACCGGCTCCATCTCACAGCCGGGCCGGCGGTCCTCAGAGCACCGGCTCCATCTCACAGCCGGGCCGGCGGTCCTCAGAGCACCGGCTCCATCTCACAGCCGGGCCGGCGCGGCGGTCCTGAGAGCAACGGCTCCATCTCACAGCCGGGCCGGTCCTCAGAGCATCGACTCCATCTCACAGCCGGACCGGTCCTCAAAGCACCGACTCCATCTCACAGCCGGGCTGACGGCGGTCCTGAGAGCACCGGCTCCATCTCACAGCCGGGCCGGCGGTCCTCAGAGCATCGGCTCCATCTCACAGCCGGACCGGTCCTCAAAGCACCGACTCCATCTCACAGCCGGGCTGACGGCGGTCCTGAGAGCACCGGCTCCATCTCACAGCCGGGCCGGCGGTCCTCAGAGCATCGGCTCCATCTCACAGCCGGACCGGTCCTCAAAGCACCGACTCCATCTCACAGCCGGGCTGACGGCGGTCCTATAGTCAGAGCACCGGCCCAGGGTCCGTCTCACAGCCGGCGGTCCTCAGAAGACAGGCAGGGGCGGCGGATTCGGGGGGGGGGGGGGGGCAGGGGGGGCAGCTGCCCCCCCTGGCAAACTCGTGGGGGGGCAAACATATCTTTTTGCCCCCCCCCCCCCCCATAATTTGCGACAAAGCTTAGACAAGAAACCATATACCTGATTATTCCGTTCGATCATCTGAAGATATAACCAGATGCCCATATACTTTATCATACGTTGCCTTTCCTAATTAAATGGCAAGCGTTTACGTTCAATTGAAGTTTTCCTCTCTTCAACCTAGTTTTGGAGGCATTATAAGCGTCAACGTGACGCAGCGGCAACCCAGGCCTTCAGTGACCGTTTACAGGGGCGACGGATACGGGGTGGCAGAGGAGGCATCGTTCCCTAAGAAACTTTTGGAGGAGGGGCAAACGTATATTCTTGCCCCTCCATAATTTGTGCCCTAAACATGAGGAAAATTTCCATAATCTGATATTGCAGCTAATAGCTATGCGCTCCTACAGTTTGTCCAACGGTGCCTTTTGAATATGTGTAAATGCTAACTATTTCCGCTTTATATATATTTTTTTTTTTTGTCTTTTCAGATTCTATTTATATGTAGATGTGTGCAAGAGACGCAACTCATACCTTCAGTGGTCATTTGCCTCTATTTTGTACCTACATAAATGCCAAATCGCAAGCGAGCGGAGACAGAAGGGCTAGCCATTCGCTTGCGGGTAGTTAGGACTGATGAGCGCTCATAATAAGCCACTCCCCTGATTTTTTCGAGCGCAACAGTTTCCAGCGCATAAAATGGTAAAGGCCGAGGTCGTACACATTGACGACATTGACCAATGCACGGTATGGTATGACACCCAAAGGCCAGTCATCAGAGATCTGCTTTGGGCATTCGGAGGCTTGTGTGGGGCCAGTGTAAAAACTGGATGCTCACAGTTCAGTATCCGCTTTATTTCAGTTTTCACTATTAAAAAAGTAAAAATTTATGTTGGAAACTTTTGAGGGTAAGGCACTGATCATTAGTGCCAGTGGCCCCCCCCCCCTTCTGTCTAAAGGCTGACTATAGAATAAAGAGCATCAAACACGAACAGTAGCGGCGGAACACCTTCAATTAAGGGGAGGGGAGGGGGGCACTGCCGACTTTTGGTCCCATTCTTTCCATGCAACGTCCATAGGGCCAACGTAAAAATGCCAAAATCAAAGGGGGGCACGGTGCCCCGGTGCCCTCCCCGTTCCGCCGCCTATGAACAAGAAAGCAAAATCTGAGGCATTTTGGAAAAATGAGTATGCCCCACAGCGTCCGATAACTACCACCTTCCAGTGGGTCAAGCCAACGGGGACCAAGTCTATAATGGCACTTAACGATAGCACTAACCTTGTCTCACTTTTTGTTGAAGTCTGTTCCGAATGGTTTCGGCCACATGGACTGGCTGCACTGAGGTCGTTTGGTATGTGCAACTGTAATTAAAGCCACCTGAGGCACCCTGACACCAGGCTGAAGCTGGGTTGGAAATGCTTCGTCTTTGCAGATATCACTGGCCGCTGATTCTCGAGTGCCTGAACCGGTAGATGTGACAAAATTTAGTGTGATAATTTGGACCTTACCGCAGTCAGCGCACCCTAAAGCCCTAATAAAGAAAGGCCCTACCAAGAGTTTCTGGCAGCTCCGTTCCATCGCTTCCATCCTCAGGACACATAAATCCTTCTCCTCCACGCCGCAACCCCTACTCCGGGCTGGACAGGCACCTTTACCTCATGCGGGCTGCTCCCTTGGAGCGGCACCACTGCTCTCGACGGAGCGCACCCCGTAGCCGGGTGCAGAGAGTGCTTGGGGGGCTGATCGGCCTGTCCTTTCGGGCGGGCTCAGCCCCGGCGACTCTCCAGGGTGTCAACCCAGACCAATGTCTCCCCCTAATTCCTATCATCCTTCCGGCCCTGAAATGGTCTCGTCAGACCGAAAGGTCCTAACCCAACAAAACAACATAAAACAAAACAAAACAAAACAAAACAAAACAAAACAAAACAAAACAAAACAAAACAAAACAAAACAAAACAAAACAAAACAAAACAAGAACAAAAAGAGCTTCTGGATTCTCGTTCCAGTCCACCGTTCCTTCACCCCAGCCCACCGCCGCGCTCCCTCACCTCAGCCCTTCGTTCCCAGCTTGACGAGCGTTTGGGCCTTAGTTAAGCCTTGCTGTAGGCTAACTGTATAAACCCATCGAGACAGCCCGTCTCGGTGAGCTTAGTTGGCGAACCACTGCTGTTCCCGCCCCAGCGGCTAACCGCATCAAGATATACGGATTTGTTTTTGACTGGCATTTGTCTTTCAGGTGTCGCATATGTGTGCCTTGCCTCTGATAGCTGACTACTGTGCTTGGTAGCCACATTGACTGCACGCACGACCACTCACAATCCCGGACGAAGTGAGTCTCACTTATATCTCTTCGATAGGCACTACTGGCACTGGCTAGACAGCGCGATACTGTGTGATTGGATTATTTAATCAGCCAGTCTGGTATATTTAAACGAGCGGTGCTTAGAGTTTGAGTTCAGTTTCTTAGTAACCAACATGATCTGTTCGCTCGTTCATGTGCTACCCCCTACTGCGGCGATTGGTTATGTGCCGGATGTATTACACCTTTCGTCCGTTGTCCCCACAGTTATAACGGTCATCACGGTCTGCGACTACTGTGGGCCCACCGACTACAAGCCCTGATCACAATAAATCTTGTAGAACTCTGCCCTGGTAGTTTTTTCCTGTTGGCCGGATCAGTTATAATTCTTCCACCTGTTGTGAGGTGGTGGTGTTGCCCATCAGTAGAGTGGTGACACAGTAGATTGATGTTCACGGCCAGTAGAGATGATCCTCACATTTGATCCTAACCTGAGGGCTGTCTAGCCTGACATCGTGTCACTCATTCTTCATTATCTGGAGACCTATTTGTAGTTGGAAAGGCAGTTGTCTACTAACGATTCAGGTGCAGTGGAGTGTAGACCTCAGCTAACTCCCAGTCCCCCTGAACTATACGATTATGGACGGGGAAGAGAACCAGGAACAGACATCTGCAAGTAGACGACAGGTGCGCCTAACTGAGGCAGGAAGAGAACACCAGAAGGAGATGAAGACGAAGGTGTTCAAGAGGCAGCTCAAGGAGCTGAAAAGGCACACTGAGAAGATGGTGGAGGACGATGGCACTATCGCCCCAGACTTGGGAAAACCAGAACTGAAGGAGTGGACCCATTGCTATGTGAATCTTCTTCAGACTCTGTCAGACCTGAGAATCCTGCTGCCATCAGACGAGGTCGCCCTCCTTCAGAGAGACATTGAACAGTTTCAAGCACTCAACTTGCAGATGCAAGAAGCCCTGGAGAAACTGAGGAGCACAGAAGCCCGAGCTCCGTCGGTGACCGGTCGCAGTGGGAACTCTCGGACATCGACATCGGTTGCTTCTGTTCGAGCCTCCTTGAAGATCCTGCAAATGCAAGACGAACATCAGAAAGCAGCCCTGCGAGCGAGACAAGCGGCTGTGCTGAGAAGACGAGAAATCGAACAAGAGAAACAGGCCATCAAGTGGAAAGAGGAGGATCTTGAACTGGAAGTGGAGCTCAGCACTGTGGAAGAGCAGAGTAAGGCACTGCACAAATTTGAGATGGAGTTGGAAGACGGAAAGACCTACAGACTACCTGCGGAGAATGACGTGACAGCTCCAGCGGAGTCAATCCAAGTAGGACCTGTTCGAAGTGCAGGTGCTCCCGTGACAACCAGCGAAGTTCGCGGCGATATATCTTCCTCTCAGCGCGCCAGCGTTTCGCTCAGCGTGGCAGATGCCGGAGCAGCGCCTCTGTCATCTGCGCAGGGCGGCAGCGCTCACATTAGCGTAGCTGACGGGCCTGAATCGACTACACTTCATCATGGGCTGAACCCTGGCGCACGTATCTTCAGGCCCAGCGCGATGATAGAGCCAGAGGAGCAGCTAAATGTAGAACGTAGCTCCGGGACGCTAGCTGCGGGACCCACTAACTTATCAGATCTGTTCGCAGAGCAGCGAAGAGGCCAGCTTCCAGCGCTGGAACCAGAGGTCTTCCAGGGAAGCGTCGAGAGGTTTCATCCCTGGGTGAAGGCCTTCGAGAGCTTCATCGAGAGCAGAACGTCATCGGCGACAGAACGACTGCACTACCTCTCCAGGTACACCGGAGGAGAAGCGAGAACAGTGATTGAAGGATTTCTTCTCCTTAGGTCAGCAGACGCGTACAATCAAGCGAAGAAGAAGCTGTACGACCGCTACGGAAATGACTTCATCGTCTCACGCACGTACCGCAAGAAGCTGAAGGAGTGGCCACCGGTGCGCGCTGGTGATGGGAGCGGTCTAAGACGATTGGCGGACTACCTGGATAGCTGCCTCGCGGTCTCACATCACGTATCGGGTCTCGAATCTCTTAACGACTGCAACCAGAACAACGAGATCCTGCGGAAACTGCCTAAACACATCGTGGACAAGTGGAGGCGTGTCGTCGACAAGAGACTGTTCGAGCCTGACGCGGGGACTCAACCGGGCTACCCGCCGTTCGAAGAGTTTGTGAGTTTCCTGAACAGGGAGGCTAGGATCGCCTGTGGACCGGTCGACGGCACACCAGATGTATTTTCGACTTCGGGTCGAGACACACCAGCCAGAGGTCGTGTCAGCCGCAAGGAAAGCGCTCACACCTTCATTTCTTTGGCAGCATCAGATGAACCGGCTGACGCCCCGAAGCACCGAACTCCACCGTCAGCGAAGCCACGGCCTCCTTGGCCATGCAAGATCTGTGGACAGCAGCACTCTATCGAGACATGCAAGGACTTCAAGGCCATGACATCAGAAGAGAGGCACGAGGCGGTCAAGCGACATGGACTCTGTAGAGGCTGTCTCCGCCACGGTCACATTTGGAAGGAATGCCGAAGCAGGAGAAGATGTGAGAAGTGTGGTTACTCTCACCCAACGCTGTTGCACAGCGACTCAAGAGAGAAGAACACGGCGTCGACTCCGGTGAAGAGGCCAGCAGGCTCAAGCGACGGCACTCCGGAAACTCGTGCAACCACATTCAAGGTGGCGGTTGAGGGCGATTGTCAGAAATCAGCCTGTCTTCACACCATGATTGTTCCCGTCATTCTTCGAAGCGAGGACGACCCTAATCGACAGGCAATCGTCTACGCAGTTCTTGACCCGCAGTCAGATGCGTGTTTCATGACCGAAACAACGCTGCAGAAAGTTGGAGGCAGAGGAGAGAAGATTGCGCTTCAACTCAGCACCATGGCTGGAAAGGCAACGGTGGACAGCCTCAGAGTGACGGGACTTTCGGTCCAAGGGCTCACGACCACCGACCGCATCAACCTTCCAGCCACCTACACACGGGTCGAGATACCAGCGGAGAGACACCTCATCCCTCGAACAACCACGCTGCAAAAGTGGAAGCATCTCGAGCATCTGATGGAAGATCTTCCTCCTCACCTACCGGACGCAGACATCGGACTACTTATCGGTATGAACTGCCCCCGCGCAGTGAAGCCGAGAGAGATTGTTCCAGGAAGCGGCGAAGACCCATGGGCAATCAGAACAGAACTGGGATGGAGCGTTGTGGGATTCGTTGAGGGATCCACATCTGCTCCAACATGCCACTGCGTACAGGCGGCAGAGTCGAAGACGTGTCACTTCGTACTCAAAACTCAGGCACGAGAAGTAAGTCCACTGGAAGTCGCACGCATGTTCGAGGCCGACTTTCGTGACGAACACACGGAGAAGAAGGTATCACAAGAAGACCGACGATTCTTGAGGATAATGGAGGAGAACTTCCATCAGAGAGCCGACAAACACTTCGAAGGACCACTTCCTCTGAAGGACCAGAATGTGAAGTTCCCAGACAACAAGAAGCTGGCATTGAAGCGGCTTTTCTGCCTGAAAAGAAGACTCGCTAACGACAAGAAGTTCAGCGATGACTACAACAAGTTCATGGCCGACTCGTTCAACAAGGGATATGCGGAGCGGGTGCCAGAAGACGAACTGGGAAACGACGATGGAAGGGTCTGGTTCGTCCCTCACCACGGTGTCTACCACGCAAAGAAAGGGAAAATCAGAGTCGTCTACGACTGCAGCGCTGAATACCAAGGATTCTCGCTGAATAACAGCCTTCTCCAAGGACCAGACTTCATCAACAATCTGCTGGGCGTAATCATCCGCTTCAGAAAAGATGAAGTGGCGATCAGCTGCGACATCCAGGAGATGTTTAATCAGGTGCTCGTGACTGAGCAGCACAGGGATCTGCTCAGATTCCTGTGGTGGGAAAACGGCGACTTATCCGGAGAGCCCGTCCAGTATCGGATGAAGACTCATCTCTTCGGCGCGGTCTCCTCCCCCGCATGCGCGATGTACGCCCTGAACGCTACGGCAGACACGTACGAGCAGAAGTACGGGAAAGAAGCGGCAGATTTTGTCAGACACAACTTCTACGTGGACGATGGGCTCATCAGCGTTCCGGATGCCGACACTGCTGCGCGTCTAGCCATGGACACGATCCACCTGTGCGCAGATGGAGGATTCAAACTCAACAAGTTTGTTTCCAACGACCCCTCTGTCGTCGCTAGCCTTCCCCCTGACAGTGTCTCTAAGGGAATGACATCAGTAGACGTCAGTCTGCACCACCCTACTTACGAGCAAGCACTCGGACTGAAGTGGAACACCGAAACAGACACACTGCACATCAACGTGGACCTTGCAGACAAGCCCATTACAAGACGGGGCATTCTGTCGACGGTGAGTTCACTGTACGATCCAGTCGGTCTGATATCTCCGGTAATCCTGAAAGGCAAGCAGTTCGTGAAGCTCCTCTGCTGTGACGGCTATGACTGGGACGAACCTGTGGCAGAAGACGTCGCCGTGCGCTGGCTGCAGTGGAGGGAAAGTATATGCTTGCTTTCCGACATCTCTGTCCCCAGACGCTACGTCTCCAACAAGGGCAAGATCAAGATTTACGAGTTGCATCACTTCTCCGATGCAAGTACATCTGGCTACGGTCAGGTTACCTACCTGCGAACCATCGATGAGCTTGGACACATCTGTTCGGGTCTCGTGATCAGCAAGGCGAAGGTGACGCCCAAGCGGGCAGTCACGATCCCGCGGCTCGAGCTGACCGCGGCGGTCCTCTCCGTGAAGGTCGCGAGCTTCTTGGACAAGAAGCTCAACATCCGGAACCTGCGCCACTTCTTCTGGACCGACAGCATGGTCGTGCTCGGTTATATCGGCAATGAAAGCAGAAGGTTTCAAGTTTTCGTTGCTAACCGAGTTCAACAGATACGGGAACACACTGTCCCGGACCAATGGAGATTCGTGAAATCTGAGGACAATCCAGCAGATCTGGCCTCCCGTGGCCTCGATGCAAGTGAGCTCAAGAACTGTGACCTCTGGTGGCACGGACCCAAGTTCTTGATGGATTCGGCAGAGCTCTCAGCAGAACCACGGTTCGTCGAGGTACAAGAAGACGATCCAGAGGTGAAGAAAACAAGAGTGTTGGTCACCAGCAGCCGACAAGACGACGCCAAGTTTGATCTGTCAAGCCGACTTGTTCCCTTTTCAAGCTGGTTCCGCGCCAAGAAGGCAGTAGCGATCTGCCTACGATACAGACGACGACTCCTGAACCGAATCAGGCAAAAGCGGACCTGCAGCACAACCACTGAAGGTATGGAGGAGAGCAAATCGCTGACAGACATGCCCATTGACACAGATGAGCTGAACGACGCAGAAGTGACCATTCTGAAGAACGTTCAGGAAGATGAATTCGAAGAGGAGTTGGTGAACCTGGCAACTCAAGAGGATCCGACGACAGATCGGAAACAAGTCAAGAAGCGGAGCAGCGTGCGCCGTCTGGACCCGTTTCTTGCCAGAGATGGACTCTTGCGAGTAGGCGGACGGCTGAGGAGAAGCGATCTGCCCCTGGAGACGGCACACCCTGTGATACTGCCAAAGGATCACCACGTCAGCCGCCTCATCATCGCGCACTTCCATGAAAAGACCAAGCACTCAGGCCGAACGATGACGCTGAGCGAGATTCGGCTGTCCGGATTTTGGATTCTTCACGGAAGAACGGCGGTATCTCGGTACATACAGAAGTGCGTCAAATGCATCAAGCTCAGAGGAACACCGTGCGGCCAGAAGATGGCAGACCTGCCGGAGGAGAGAGTGGGACAGATGGAACCGTTCACCTATTCCGGATGTGACTGTTTCGGACCCTTCATCATCAAAGAGCGTCGCAGCGAGCTGAAGAGATGGGGCATCGTGTTTACGTGCATGAGCTCGAGAGCCGTTCACCTCGAGACTCTGAACTCGCTGACTGCAGACGCTTTCATCAACGCCTACCGACGTTTTGTTAGTCGGAGGGGACCAGTCAGAAAGCTCTTCTGCGACAACGCCACGAATTTCATCGGTGGCGAGGGATATCTCATGGCAGCACTCAACGAGATGGACCGAGATCAGGTCAGGAGGACCATCCTGAAGGACAACTGCGACCTCGTGGAATTCGACCACATCACCCCACGGGCTAGTCACATGGGCGGCGCCTGGGAGCGCCAGATACGGTCTGTTCGCGCCGCTCTCAACAGCCTGTTCCAAGATGTGGGACTCCAGATCGACGACGAACTTCTTCGAACGGTCATGACAGAAGCCGAAGCCGTAGTTAACAGCCGCCCCCTGTCCTATGCATGCATGACTGACTCAGATGTAGTAGAGCCTATCACCCCTAGTCAACTACTCACCTTGAAACAGAAGGTAGTTCTCCCTCTGCCGGGGAACTTCGACCGCCCGGACCTGTACGTCAGACAACGCTGGAGGAGGGTCCAGTATCTCTCCAACCAGTTCTGGCTCCGCTGGAGGCGGGAGTTTCTGCCAACTCTCCAAGAGCGTCGCAAGTGGAACCGGACGGAGCTGAATCTCGAGCCAGGCGACGTCGTGATCATCGTCGACGCTGACGCCCCGCGATGCAGCTGGCCTCTGGGCCGCGTGGTTTCCACGTACCCGAGCAGTGATGGACTGGTACGAAGTGTCCGAGTGCGTATCGGCCGTGCTGAATATGACAGACCGATACACAAAGTCATCCGCATGCTGAAGTCGTAGGGTGATTCCCAGTCGAGGAGCCTTGTTTATTTTCCTTGCGTTCGTGTGCGCTGCGCAAGTTCCGGTGACAAAGTGTCATCGACACTATTGTGATAATGTGTCACAGTGACGCCGTGATCGATTTGTGACAGCGTGTTGTTGCTGCGAAATGTGAATCACGCGTGCCATTGTATAACAGACTGCGTTTTGTATATAGCAGACAACGTCTCTGCTATTCACGTTCTGTGTGGAAAAGTGATGGAAAATTAGGTATAAGTACCGTAATTTTGGGGAGCCATGTTCCCGCCCCAGCGGCTAACCGCATCAAGATATACGGATTTGTTTTTGACTGGCATTTGTCTTTCAGGTGTCGCATATGTGTGCCTTGCCTCTGATAGCTGACTACTGTGCTTGGTAGCCACATTGACTGCACGCACGACCACTCACAATCCCGGACGAAGTGAGTCTCACTTATATCTCTTCGATAGGCACTACTGGCACTGGCTAGACAGCGCGATACTGTGTGATTGGATTATTTAATCAGCCAGTCTGGTATATTTAAACGAGCGGTGCTTAGAGTTTGAGTTCAGTTTCTTAGTAACCAACATGATCTGTTCGCTCGTTCATGTGCTACCCCCTACTGCGGCGATTGGTTATGTGCCGGATGTATTACACCTTTCGTCCGTTGTCCCCACAGTTATAACGGTCATCACGGTCTGCGACTACTGTGGGCCCACCGACTACAAGCCCTGATCACAATAAATCTTGTAGAACTCTGCCCTGGTAGTTTTTTCCTGTTGGCCGGATCAACTGCCTTGGGGAGTGTTTCTGGCGGATCGCTGTCCCAATAGGATGCGACCGACTATCTCTGAATGTTTGAGCGGTCTCCTCCCGCTGTGAGCTAGTTTCATTTGATATCTGTCTCAGAAATACTTTTTAAAGGAAGGTTAAACGGAAATCGAACGTAAAATGAACAGAGGAAATGGTAACGAGTTACCTCATTGAAGAATAGCGCTCGCCTACTTCAAAAGGTTTGGAATCGTTCTTCAACATCTAATATGCGATCGGGTTATGGCACAACTTTTCCCATTAGCGATTTTTTTCTAATTGAATGATGTTGAGGGTTTCTTTGAAAATGAGCCCCATTATTATTAACCCGCGCCCGGCTGGGGGTCCTGGATTTCCACGCCCTGCTGGGGGGGGGGGGTGTTTGAACACCCCCCCTTGTAACTCGGCTCCTGGGCCACGTAGCGATACGCGGAAGGCGGCGTTCGAAAGAGCGTAAAAAATAATGACGAAATCACTTCAGTCAATTTTTTGGTCAGGTCAAAGGTCAGGTCACCAGAGGTCATTGAAGGCAAAATTTCGCCGATTTCCAGGTCGAATGTCGAAAATTTCCAAGAAGCCAACGCATAACTCGGGAACCAATAGAGCTACAGCGCCGCGGAAAAGTGCATTCGGTAGCCCTATTAACGCCCTTTCTGAGTAATTCTCTCAGATTTGACCTAACGTCAACGGTTTTGCCTGCAGGGGGCAAAAACTGCAAAAATAGCCGATTTTTTCGGAAACAGTTTTTCTGCAATAACTTTTGACCCAAGCCTTGTACGAGCTTACTTTTACCGGCATCGTGTTCCTCTCGTGAAGACGCATCGAATGAACTATAACTTGACCTTGAAAGGTCAACTTGAAAATTTGACCTCAGGTCAAGGTCATGACCTGACCGGAAAGGGTCATGTTGCATATCAGTCGATCCGTATCGTCGAGCTGAACACATCTAAGGCGTTTTCATCGCTCTAGCATGCCTCTATCAAAAGTTATTTGCGAAAAACTGTTAGATACCATTCGTGACCTAAGATGACCTCAGGGCATAAACAAGGGTCACGGACACCATTTTCATGTTCAGTGTGTCTAAACCACTTGTACTTCGGTGTTTGGGAGTGTTTATAATGTCTTTCGTCCAAAAGAGGCGCATTTCAATTTTCTCCCATTGACTTATAATGGGGAGGTCGCAAAATTGACCTGACCTTAGGTCATCGATATCAAAATTCTGAGATATACATTTTGTACATGCTATTGCTTTTAGCAATCGCTGAAAGTTTCAAAGCGATCGGTCACTCGGTGTAGCTATGACAGACATTGAAACTTTTTATGAGGTGAGGTCACTTCAAGTGACCTGGTGACCTGACCTTGAATGACCTTGGTCTGAAATTTTCACAACATGTGTAGAATTGATGTATGATAAGGTGTACCAAAAACGGCGGCGCTTCGCGCCGCCGTTTTTGAGATATTCGCGAAAAACCACAAGGGGGGGTGTTCAAACACCCACCCCCAGCAGGGCGCGGGTTAAAAGATAAGCAAGTAATAGCCTTTGGCTCATTGTATAATAGACACAATAAATGGAAAAGAATATATGTGCGATATTTCGTGTTCGACACTTTTTCATGCACTGATGCAACACTGATGTTTAAAAAATATTTTTGTTGACAAGCAAACACACAAAACGAGCACAGTTGAATATCCCTCCTCTGATAACGAAACATTGGATTACATAATAATTTCAGAAATGTCGACAAAATCATTCAAAGTCCAACAAGTACAGAGTTATACGGGCATAAATGATACCTCATGCCCAGCATGCCCACCACAAAACACACATATCCCCTAAAACATTCCCTAAATACATTGCATGAGTGAGGCAGGCCAAAATATTTTCTACACACATTGCGCGAGTGAGAGAGGCAGAAAGAAAAGTAAGGCAGGCAGGAAGGAGGCGGCGTTGGAGAACGGCGGGCACCAGACCGGTCTGCATCAGCTTCAAGTGTAAAAAAACAACGTTGGACAGGACTGCAAGAAGGTGAATAAAATGACACACAAAAAGGGTAGACAGGGTAGGCAAGACTTTTACTGGTGGGTCTGTCCTGGATGAGACGTGCTCTATCTTGTCATTGAGTTATACTGTATTTGCATGGGAGCAATCAGTTTCCAGGATGTGGCATTTTTATTTATTGATGGTTTACGGTTTCTGATCTCTAAAGACTCTGTGATTTTCATCTGTGCTGCATCCTTTAAGTTTGTGTGCAGTAGTTTGAGTTTGAGCATGTCGTTTGTTATCTCAGTGTCTGGGTGAGCATCTCTCATGTGTTCCCCGAAATGTGTGCCAGGTCGTTTGTGTCTAGCGTCCCCTAAATGTTCCATAAATCTGGTTCTGATACGTCTTCGTGTTTCTCCAATGTAGATGGCTGAACATAATGTGCATGTGATGTGGTATACTACGTTTTTAAGGTGACATTTCCCAACTGCACCTGCTTGACAAGCGTGACAGGTTGTACGATTTCCCCTTGGGCATGGTGGTTGATCCAATCCTGATCTAATGAGCGTGTTGGCTAGTGTTTTGCCCCCCTTCCATGCTATTTTGACATTTAGTTCAGATTTCTTTGTTATGTTGTTGATTTTTCTCGATAGGTCTTCGTCAATGTATGGAAGGGATATGTAATTTACTTTCGGTTTGGTCCGTGGGTGCTGTGTTTGGTTTCGAGTTTTCCTTTGGATGTTAGTGATCATTTTCTCTGGATATCCATTCGAGAGGAAAATATCTTTTATTTTCTTGATGCCTCTGTTCTTTGCTGACGTGTTTGAACCCAAACGTAGGGCTCGAATGGTTTGTGAGTGGATAACTGCGCGTTTAGTTTGCATGGGATGTGCTGACTTGAAGTGAACGATAATAGGAGCGGCCATGGGCTTGACATAAAGCTCTGTTGTGAAGTTCCCAGCTCCGTCTAAGGTAAGTAGCGTATCCAGAAAAGGAATGTGTTGCTCTGGTGATTGATCAGATCTTTCAATGCTGAATTTCAGGGAGGGGTGAAAATCGTTGATGAATTCAAAATAATCGTCAAGAGCCTTTGGTCCGTGAGTCCATATGCCTAATATATCATCTATTATCATGGATTGGATCAACCACCATGCCCAAGGGGAAATCGTACAACCTGTCACGCTTGTCAAGCAGGTGCAGTTGGGAAATGTCACCTTAAAAACGTAGTATACCACATCACATGCACATTATGTTCAGCCATCTACATTGGAGAAACACGAAGACGTATCAGAACCAGATTTATGGAACATTTAGGGGACGCTAGACACAAACGACCTGGCACACATTTCGGGGAACACATGAGAGATGCTCACCCAGACACTGAGATAACAAACGACATGCTCAAACTCAAACTACTGCACACAAACTTAAAGGATGCAGCACAGATGAAAATCACAGAGTCTTTAGAGATCAGAAACCGTAAACCATCAATAAATAAAAATGCCACATCCTGGAAACTGATTGCTCCCATGCAAATACAGTATAACTCAATGACAAGATAGAGCACGTCTCATCCAGGACAGACCCACCAGTAAAAGTCTTGCCTACCCTGTCTACCCTTTTTGTGTGTCATTTTATTCACCTTCTTGCAGTCCTGTCCAACGTTGTTTTTTACACTTGAAGCTGATGCAGACCGGTCTGGTGCCCGCCGTTCTCCAACGCCGCCTCCTTCCTGCCTGCCTTACTTTTCTTTCTGCCTCTCTCACTCGCGCAATGTGTGTAGAAAATATTTTGGCCTGCCTCACTCATGCAATGTATTTAGGGAATGTTTTAGGGGATATGTGTGTTTTGTGGTGGGCATGCTGGGCATGAGGTATCATTTATGCCCGTATAACTCTGTACTTGTTGGACTTTGAATGATTTTGTCGACATTTCTGAAATTATTATGTAATCCAATGTTTCGTTATCAGAGGAGGGATATTCAACTGTGCTCGTTTTGTGTGTTTGCTTGTCAACAAAAATATTTTTTAAACATCAGTGCATGAAAAAGTGTCGAACACGAAATATCGCACATATATTCTTTTCCATTTATTGTGTCTATTATACAATGAGCCAAAGGCTATTACTTGCTTATCTTTTGATTTTTTTCTAACACAGCAATACGAAAAGCGTTACATCGTCCACTGGCGGATCCAGGGAGCGGGCATTTAAAGCAAACATTTATTCTCCCTCCCCTGGCCCCTGCATCGCCCGAAATAGACAAAACGTACCTTATGTTTCCTAATAAAACACTTTTTTATCAGGATTTTTTTTTTGCTTAATACTGTTCAGCAGAAGATCAGTAAGGAATCGAAATCCGATGAGTTTTTGGATTTTGGACACTTTTTTTGGGGGGTATGTCCCCTACAGCGTCGAAAACGCCTTTCTGGATCCGCATATGACATCATCTCGACTGGGATCTTGCCCCCCACGCCAAAATCGAATCCGCCGCCACTGAAGACAGGCTCATCTCGCAGCCGGCTCCGAGGGGCACTGAACCGACGCCTATACGCAGAGCGACGTGTTAAACAGGAAATGGGCAAATGTGAGCATCACAAGTCACAACACGCCGAAAGCTCCGACACCGGCTTAGCACAGGATGAATGACTTCGTGCCCAGTATAGTGCAGCTGTTCTAGTCTGAGGATCTGCTGTTCAACCTCACTTCGCTCTCTCCATTACGTTATAACTTTCCGATTAAAATTGAAATAATCGCCCGCAATCCATTCGCACTGTACCCTGTAAGTTGGCCTGTACAGATTCTACCAACCTGTGTGTGTTATCGCTATTTCGTCAGCAGCGCCTACGTCGGATGACATCACTGTTCTCCCGGAATGCCCTGAGAGGCCATGTTTCCCAGACAGTTGTCGCTTCATCGTCACAACTCACATGCTCAAGACGAATCGCTATAACAGCACGCGAAGTGCGCAG